TCATGGATCCTAGAGGTTTACTTTCCTCTCCAGATTTGGAAAGTTTCCTGTCATTTCTTTGAATAATCTTCTGCCTCTTTTTCTCTTTCTGCTTCTTCTGGAACTTTCCTTGATTGTGTCCTGAAAGTCTAAGAGGCATTTTTCTCCCAACTTTTTCCTTCATTTTTCTCTTGGTACTTCTGTGAGAATAATTTCTTTGAGTCACTGATTTATCTTAGACTGTATTAAGTTTGCTGTTAAATCTCTCTGGGATTTTACAATTTAGTCATTGTGTTCTACAGCTCCTGAATGTGTTTATTTTATTTTTCATAATTTCTATCTAATTGTTGAACTTCCATTTTTTTTTTCACATATATGATTTTCCTGGTTTCTTCTAGTTTTCTCTCTGTGTTTTCTTGCATCTTGCTGAGGTTTTTCAAGATTATTATTTTGAATTCTTTGCCAGGGAATTTGTAGATTCTGTGTCTACAGGAATGGGCTTGGAAACTCCCCAGGGTCCAGCCTGGTGCCAGGGGTGGGTCTGTTGATGGGGTCTATGTCCCCTTCACCACACAAGGGGTATCTTTCTCCCCATACTTCACTACCTGAGTTTCTGGAAAGACTGCAAGTTTTTTTTTTTTTTTTTTTTTTTTAATTTTTATTGTTAGAATGGCTGCATCAGAAATGCCATGTTAAAATGTCACACATCACATTAGAATTATTTCCTCAGTTTTGGAAACATTTCTCTTATAGAATCTTCTTAAGGTATCTAAAAGAACTTCCAGCATGGGTATAGAAAGCAAAAATCTGGGATGACCTCTGGGGTGCCTCTGGTGCCTTTGTTTAGGTTACATTTTATGCAAAACAGAATTTGTAGATATAACTAAGGTGATTACTCACTTGACCTTGAGCTAATCAAAAGGGACTTTATCTGGGTAGGCCTAGCCTAAGCCCATGATCACTATAAATCTAGGTCTAGAGGTCAGAGACAGGGAAGTCAGAGGAAGTCATAAAAGGAGGGAGATTTGACATCCAAGAAGTGCTTTGTTGCTGATTTTAAAGATAGAGAGGGCTATTTGATAAGGACCTGAGAGCAGCCTCTAGAAGCTGAGAGCAACCTCTGGCTAGAGACAGCTCCTGAGTAGAGACAAACCTGAGTTTGAAAGAGGACTCCAAATTCTAGATTAGAACTCAGCCCCTCTGATTCTTTGATAATACCTTTGTGAAACCCTAAGCAGAAAAACCAAGTATGCCATATTCAGACTTCTGATGTACAGACTGTGAGATAATAAGTCTATACTATTTTAAGCTTCTGTGATTGTGTTGGTTTGCTAGGCAACAATAGAAAATAAATGCAGTGGATTGATTTTAATCTTTGTCTTTAAATCTGTGGTTTAGTGGACCCTCTACTAGCAACAACTGACTTGGAATTCTTTGCCAGGGAATTTGTAGATCCTGTGTCTACAGGAGTAGACCTGGAGCCTGGAGCTTAACTCCCCAGGGTCCAACCTGGTGCCAGGGGTGGGTCTGTTGCTGGGGTCTATGTCCCCTTCACCCACACAAGGGTGGGTTTTTTTTCACTCAGTGAATATCCTTGGCCTTCTGCAAACAGTATTTCTGAAGGCCTGTAAGATTAGGAGACCTATGAATTCATGTTTCCTCAGCAATGTTTCCTTTTTTAAATTTCTAAGCTGTCTTGGAGCAACATGTGATCCTACTGTGTATATATGTTCAGTCTGTGCCTCTGTCCACATACAATACATGAGTTTGACACACCAAAACTTGCTGTGTGCTGCTCATGGTGACAAGCTGACAAGTATTTCTTGAATCTTTGGGTGATGAATAAACACTCCTGATTTCTGAAGTTTTCACAGATTGGTAACAAAGAGTTGAATGGACCAAACTGGGGAAGTGACTGACTCAAACCTTAGCCTTATGGCTTATCCAAACTTGAGAGAAAGAGAAAGAGGGCGAGAAAGAAAATTTGAGAACTTGTACAATAATTTTGTAAAAGATACAAAATTTTTCGTTCTGCCATCTCCTAAAATTTAAATTTTAAGAATTTAGTTACACAAAACTGGAGGATCACTATTTCCTAAAAAGTGGGGAGGAGAGGGTAGTGCCCCAAACACTTAATCACCTTCTTCTAGGCTAACTCTTAAAGGCTTCACCAGCTCTGGACACCACCATGCAGAGGACCAAGTTTCAGACACAATAATAACCTCTGAGGAATGAACCATTCCCAAACCACAGCACTTGGACAGTTTGGTTTTGATTAGGGAAGTAGGGATTTGTGTTAATTTGTGTTTATTTCAGGGGGTGGGGTGAGGTACTAGAGATTGAACCTGGGGTGCTTTATCACTGAGGCACATCTTCAGCCCTTTTAATTTTTTATTTTAAAACGGGATCTCACTAAGTTGCTTAGGGCCTAGTTAAGTTGCTGGGTCTGGCTTTCACCTTGTGATCCTCCTGCCTCAGCCTCCCAGGTTACTGGGATTACAGGCACCCAGTATGTTGTTTTATTATTTATTATTTACTCATCTGTTTAATATTTATTTTTATGTACGAATATAAACTAAAAATAATTCATAGTCATACCTGCCAAATAACCCTGGTTGGCACTTAAAACCCCATAAGGTTATAAAAATCAAGCAGAAAACTACAGAAATGTGAAAAAATGAAACCCAGAATCTCCCCCCTACCTCCTACCTCTTAGAGCCTTCCCTCAAAGGTTAAAATTTCTTGAGATCCCTCCTACATAGGTATCTATTTACAGATTTATATATATTTATGCAATTAACTCTGTACTGTTCTACACCTTGTTTAGATTTTATCTTAAGAATCATTCTTGATCTTTGTGTAGCATTTCTTGAAGACTCTTAGTCTTGCCTGAAGTATTATTGGCTATTTTACTGGCATTTTAGATTTGAGATAAATTGATAAATGCCCCCCCCCCATCCCACATGTCTCTCAGACCCCACTGCAATGCCAGTGGGATCCCAGCATCTGTAGTCTTTCTGGTTATATGGAAGACCCACAGCAGTACCATAAGCTTATAGTCTCCTTTGGCCTTTATTTTCAGTACCCACAGTCCCCTTTAAATCAGTGCCTGCCACTGCTCCAGGGTTAATGAACAGAGGGTAAATCTCCCTTCCCCTGCTCAGGGCACTGTGTCTCAGAATGGGAATGGCAGGCCTGGTTGGCTTGCTCACAAGCCCCATGTCTTTGCACACATATGCATGCAAAAATGTACCCACAGGTGTGGGTATCCTCAAGGTAATAATGTATACTCTTTCTACAAGTCAGTCCCTCTCAGCTCGTGACTTTTTCCATGTAACTACTATCATTCAAACACATGAATATTCACATTCTCACACATATATTTGCTTACTGTGTTGTGTAAAAAGCACATGAACACTTGTCTGGAAAGGAGGAAGAAGCCTTTGCCTGAAGATGCTACTGCTTTTGAGTTCTTGTGTCTTTGGTGGAAAGGCAGTGAATTCTCAGAGTGGTGACTGGATGGGAGGGAACACTTTGTGTTTCCATGAAGGACAGAGTTATTCATATGAACCTATAAGCTGGGTTTCCAAGAGGTCTGTCTCAAGACAGAAGGAGCGCTGGGGTTGTAGCTCAATGGTAGAGCACTTGCCTAGCATGTGTGAGGCAATGGATTCAAACCTCAGCACTGCATTAAAAAATAAATAAAATAAAGGTATTCTGTCCATCTAAAATGAAAAATAAATTTAAAAATAAGAAGGAAAAGGAAGGAAGGAAAAGTGGAAGGGAGGAAGTGAAGGATGTTGGAAGAGGGGAAGTAAAGAATAGCATCCCTTCTTTGTTAGCCTATGTCCATTGAAAAACTTAATCAAGCCCGTTATCTGTAGATCAATGGTCAGCAAAGTAATTATCTTGCTTTTAGAGTTATTTTGATGCTCAGACCTGTGGGTACTCATTATTAATGCTACTAACTGCATTATTTGTGTTGCCATTCTGGATTCATGCTTAAAGAATCAAGTAATCAAAAAAAAAAAAAAAAAAAAAAAAAAAAACCTTTGCTTGAGTCATACATTGTGAAACATGCATTTGGAATGATTCCCTGAGAAAGCTGGGTGCAGAATACAAATATTTTGAATGGACTTATCTTAGAGTTGTACTGCTTTTTTTCCTTGTCATTTTAAAACCCTTAATACGAATAAATTGTTTGTATAGTGAGGCTTTTTTAAAAATCCTTAGATAAGAAATACATGGTTTGAAAGCAGAGAATAAAAACATGAATGATAATGGACGCAATGCCCAGGAGAAGGTCTTTGCTGCTGCTGCCGGTCAGGCGTTATAATCGGCTATTCGGTGTGTTTATTTCAGGCTGCAGATACTAGATAAAAATGGCTGGTTGGTTGCCAGCATAGGACTTAGTTGCCAAATGGAGTGTTTAGCACTTGTTACATATGACTTATATCACAAGTTCTTCCCATTAACAGTCTGCTGGTGATAACCTACTTGGCTTTTCATGTGGTTACTTTGAAACAGCCACTTGACAACATTTGGTGTATCACAAAGTTTAATACTGAATAAAGGAGTTAGTCAATGACTACATGGGCTCAGCCATATACTGATATGGTACTTGGTGCAGAATTGGCACCCAGTCAATGTCTGTTCAATGAATGAAATAATCCTGTGTAAACATTTTTCTAGTTTACTGAACCAAAGTTAGGTCTATGGACTGAAAATATAAATGTCCAGAAAAGGGAAAGAAATATAGTGCTTACATGTCCTGTAGGCTTGCATTTGTATGGGAAGAAGACTTTCTGCTCATCTGTATTGTCATTGAATACAAAGTTGAATTAAATGAAATAATTGAAGTTCTCCTCGGAATGTCCTTGAGTCTGAGTCAAAATGTAACTTTGTGATATTAAAAATGTCCATAATCTCAGGTCTATTTTTAAAAAATAGATTCACTTCAGGAATGTTGGCCCTTGATATGTAATAAAATATACATTAAATATGATGATCTTTATTTTTAGATTGAAAACTTGCAAGAACAACTTAGGGATAAAGACAAGCAACTGACCAATCTGAAAGACAGAGTGAAGTCCTTGCAGACAGATTCCAGTAACACAGATACTGCGCTGGCGACACTAGAGGAAGCTCTGTCAGAGAAGGTGAGTTTGGACTCAAAAATGGGGACATCGGGATTGAGAGAAGCAGGGTTCGGAGATGAGCCAAGTGTATTAAAATTTGCCTGCTTTTCCTCATTTGCTAATAATATCTTTGGTCTCATCTGGGCCTCACACTGCCTTACCAGACCTCTTCAGTAGGCTTTGTGCTCAAGACTCACCTGCAGCCAGGGAAGTCTTTTTGAAATGCAAATCTGATCACATCACCCTTGTCCCCTGAAATCCTTCACTAGCTTGTCATTGCTATTAGAATGATAAAGACTAGACTCCTTATGCTGGCACAGTGCACCCCTCCATCTAAGCTCTTTTCTGACCAACACCTCTCCTGGCTGTTCCCTTCCTTCTTCCTTTATCCCTCCCTTCCTCCCTCTGACCTTTCTTCCTTCATTTCCAGCCTCATCCCCATCCCCTATCTCTCTTCCCTGGTTTTCTGTGCTCTAGCTCTGCTGGGTTTCTAGATTTTGAAGTATATCATGTTCCCTTCTCCCTTAGGCTCTTGGGACTTATTCTCACCCAGCCTAGAATGTGGTTTAGTGTCTGCAGATGTAGTTCTTCACTGGAGAGGTCAGCTTCTTGAGAAGTTGTGTTGTATAGTAGTCAAGAGTTTGGAATCAGACTGTCTGAGTTCAAATCCTCATTCTCACACTTAGTCCTTTGGAAAAATTAATTAACTTCTCATTTCCTCAGGGGAAATATTGTTTTATTAATTAGTTTCTTAGGGATACCTCCTGAGGACCTCTATTATGTTCTCCTGAATACCATGAGCTTCTCAGAGCTCTTGTCACAATCTCAGTTGTTCATGCATCTGTGTTTTTTTTTTGTGTGTGGTTTTTTTTAAAAAAATTTTTGTAGTTATAGATGGACAGCATGCCTTTATTTTATTTGTTTATTTTTATGTGGTGCTGAGGATTGAACCCAGTGCCTCACATGTGCTAAGCAAGCGCTGTGCCACTGAGCTACAGCTCTGGCCCTCATGCATCTGTTTTTATTTGATTAATCCATCTTCTCTGCTGGAGTCCAAACCTAGGCAACATTGTGTGTGTGTGTGTGTGTGTGTGTGTGTGTGAGAGAGAGAGAGAGAGAGTGAGAGAGAGAGAGAGAGAGTGAGAGAGAGAGAGAGAGTGAGAGAGAGAGAGAGAGAGAAAGTGCCATCCCCATGGCCTTGCACAGTATTTTTATGGAGCTGCTCTGTGGATATTGGCTATTGTGGTCACTGGGATGTCACAGAGATGAGAATGGGCAAAATCTTGACTCTTACAGACTTTAGATTCTACTGGGGTTGAGGGGAAAATAAACGATAAACAAGTAAGAGATGTATGTAGGATTTCAGAAGGTCATAATGTCTATCAACAAAAATAAAGTGGGAATGTGTACAGGGACTGTTGTGGTGGAGTGGCCAGCTGGGGCCAGGAATGTGACATTTAAAAAGGAAAGGGCTGAAGGAAGTGACTGGTGAGTCACAAGCCCTTCTGAGGCAGGTGTACTAGGTGAAGGGAGGAGCAATACAAAGGGTGGGGAGAAGCTCATCTCCCAGGATCTCGTGAGAAAAGATTTTGAAAATTGCCTTTTACTCTTTGGAGCTGGGAGGCCACTCTGAGGCGTTCCTCTGAATACATTTATAAGGATTATTTTGAATAAGTAAAAATAAATAAATGAAAGAATAAAATGAATGAATTAATGAAGAATGAAACAAACAACAAATAAATGAAATCCATTAAGTAAATAGGTTATTCTGATGTTTACTGACTTTTAAAATGATTTTTAGCCCATTTTAGTTTGGCTGAATTAGTTCATTTATTCTCTGAGCACCAATTATAGTTGAATTTCTGTTTTATATCTTCACCCCCAACACTCCCAATGTGTCCAAGAGCCAGTGGCCAAAAATAGTTCAGGTAAAGTTCTTTAGGAATTCTGAGCCTCAGCTTTATATTGGGGCACTCAGACATGCAACGTGTTGAGGAAGTCTTTAGGCCAATGTTTATTCACATTATTTTCAAATTCAGCTTGAAACAAAAGAGATCTCTTTTTTTTCTTTGTTAATATTCTTTTCTTTTGTTCTTTTTAGGTATAAATGACAGTAGAGTGTATTTCAGCATATTACATATACGTGGAGTATAACATTGTAAATTCAGATCCCATTCTTGTGGTTGTACATGATGTGGAGTTTCAGTGGTCATGTGTTCATATGTGAACATAGGAAAATTATGTCTGATTCATACTACTATCTTTCCTAATCCTGTCTTCCCATCCCTTCCCTTCATTTCCCTTTGTCTAATCCACTGAACTTCTATTCTTCTCTCTTCCCTTTGTTGTGGGTTGGCATCTACATGTCAGAGAGAACATTCAACCTTTGGTTTTTTGGGATAGGCTTATTTCATTTAGAACTATAGTTTCTAGATCCATCCATTTATTGGCAAATGTCATAAAGTCATTCTTCTTTATGGCTAAGTAATATTCCATTATGTATATAAACCATATTTTCTTTATCCGTTCATCTGTTGATGGGCATCTGGGTTGTTTCCATAGCTTTGCTATTATGAATTAAGCTGCTATAAACATTGATATGGCTGTGTAGTTGTAGAAATCTTAACTTTTAAAATGTGCAAGTAGATCCATTTGTGTTTTTTTTCCCCTTGATGCTCTCATCATTTTTGATTCTGCAGTACTTTGCAGTACTTGCCCACAGGCTTTCTTTTGGGTGTCTTACCACGGTTATAGCATTGCCTACTATGTTCCCTGTTATGAGAGGATATAAACTCTGGGGTAATGAGGTCAGATAGAAGGAAACCTAGGAGCCAATGTCACATTTGCCACTAAGTAACTAGTAGACCCTGGCAAGTAATTCTTCTTTACAGAACCTCAAACTTCCCATTTGTTGAATGGGAAAATTGGATTAAGTGGCCCCCTGCTTTCCTGAGCCAATGTATCTTAAAGAGGATTTTTCTGCAGCTGAATTAACAGAAGGTAGTTGTTGGGAAAACCTAAATTGTTGGGCCCGATCAATATCTACCAAATCTAACCTTGAGTGGTGCCTGGAAATCTGTATTTTAGCAAACTCTCCTGGTCTTTGTGATGTGCACTGTAGTGTGAGAATCACTGCTAAGCCAAGAAAGAGCCATAACACTGTGGCCAGATATTGTTCATGGTTCTATTAAAAATTATAACTTTAGGATTAAAACATAATAATTACAATATTTTATTTGAAGACATGAAAATATTGAATATGATAACTTTTCAGGAAAAAATATTCTTTCAATATTCAAGAATTTATTTCCAGAGATCTTTGAACTAATTTTGCTTGTAAAATTGGAATGTGGCAGGTGAGGGGAGATGTTGCTTCAAAAACTATTAAGATTATGTATGCATGTTGGGGTGATATGATGTCAGCTCATTCTTAAATCTTGGTTTCTTTCTTAAAATTCATAGAAGTAAACATATACCATATAATTTTTCATGTTGTGGATTCTTGGCATGATTTTATCTCCCCCCGCCTCCTGCACAGAACCTATTAAGGTTTGATTTATTCTAGTTTAAGTCCTAAAGCAATTCCCAAATCTGAAACTCGTCTTTTTATTTAAATATTTCCTTTGAGGCAGGGGGGTGTTCTGGAAGGAAATCTGAGTGAGGTCTGTGGGAGGCTGCCTGCACCAGACTGTCCTTACTGCTTGCTAGTATATTACCTGGGGCAAGTCTTTTTCTCTTGGAGCCTCTTGGAATTTCATTTTCAAACTGCACCCTTGAATTACTTAAACTCCTAAATGTCATACTCTTCTGGAACTTGCTTGACAGTTTGCTAATCTGCAATCTCAGGCACATGACATCCAAATTGGATGAAAAGTTGAAAATGTGGATGACTAAAAGGATCAGGCAGGGAGCAAAAATGGGAGAAATGGGATGCAGAAGAGACTATTGGTGACTATGGCAAGCTAGAGCATCCCTGACCTGTTTCAAAACATTTGAATTTAGATTTAAAAAATATTATGATGATCAAGTTAACCAAATTATTTTGTGGGCCAGCTTTGGTCTATGAGCTGTTTAGTTCCAAATATTATTTGCATCTGATGTTTAGTTTTTCATACAAAAATCAATGATAATAGTGTGCCGCAGTCCGGGTGCAGCAAAATAACGGGGGGGGGGGGGCGACGAACAACTTGTGTACATTGATACAGCAGGAGTGGGAGCCGTTTATTGTAGGACAGGAGGGGTATATATACATTACACACAGCTTATCTTAATTAACATAAACTAGATACAGCAGTCAACCAATAAGGAATCTCCACACTTAATGGCTCCCTGGTATTACTTCACAAAACACTCCCTCTGGCAAAATGCCAGGTGCCATCTTGACTTGTTTACATACCCTAACATTTAATGTTAGGAGTTTCTTAATTATAGTTTCCTTATTCCCATTTCCTAGAGGTTTTGATTCAGTTACTCTGCCTTGAAGCCTAGGAACCTGTGATTTTTAAGCATACCCAGAAATTCTGATACAAGTGGTTGAAATACCACAACTTCTAGCAAAATGCTAAATTCAAGCTTTTCCATATTAAAGTTGGGAAATAGGTTCAGTGAAGTGAAATGATTTGCCCAGAAAGAAATATTCTAGACATGTGAGCATCATGCCCTATTCCTGGGTGTGGGAAATTATCGTTAATCAATTGTGACACATGCTGATTTCTCAACCCAGTACTCCCCAAGCAACTTTCATACTAAATTAGCTCTTGTTTGAGACTGTTTCCTCTCTTGGCACACCCATCTAAGGCTTCCCAGCTCACAAGTGGTGGTGTGCTTATAAGAACTTCACAATGTATATTTAAATTATTTTCTCCTTACGAATTCCACTTTTATCCCCACTTAATTGAATAGATCCTCTGGAACAAGGCATGGGGTTAAAAAATAAAATGGCGAGTAAAACCTTATGGATTCATAAGTACATGTAATTATTTGCTGTCTTTTGGCTGGTAGACAGAATCCATCAGAAACTCTTCACCATTTCCGTTGGATTATGGCATCCTGGGATTGTGTTCCTTGTTTTACTCTCCAGGAACTTGTTCAACTGTTGAGTTAAGGCTGAGTGTGACTCAGGCTGGGAATGTACCACGGTGGCAGAGCTCTTGTCTAGCATGCAAAGGCCTACTTCAACCCCCAGCCTCACAAAAAGAAGACTGAATATGACTGAATTCTGTGATTGACACACAGAAGCTCCGGAGACAGAACTCACCATATTTATAAGGCTGGTCTCGCCAAGCTTTGCTGTAACCACCTAGAAGATAAGCAGTTGAGAAAGCCAGAAAGCAGAGCTAGAGGCCCCTGCAATGCAGTTCCCACTCAGTGATAAAGCACAAATAGATTAGACCTGTGCTGTGCCAGATGAGTGCTCAAGGAACACTTGCCAGTGCAAATAAGGCTAAAGCAAGAACACATTGGAATTTCTGCAAGTCAGTTGTTAATCAACTAGATCCTGGCATATTAGGGCCTTTTAACACATGTTTTTGACATCTGGCCCCACGCGGCTGACATTTAAATTATTTTGTGATTGACAGAGAAATATTTTGTACTATTGAATCATCAATTATAGTGCTGGCCGATTTTTTTTTTTTTTTTTACTTTGACACTTTCTTGGTATTAACACAAATACATGATTTTATGAACCTTTCTTTGAAGCCAAGATGATCCTACTTTGTGTCTCTTTCTTTCCACCTGCCTTTTTAGGTGTGTTTTTTATACCAGACAGTTTGGCCCTGTAAAGATCATAGACTGCCCTCTGGAAGGCTGGGTGGGGAGGGTGGGCATGCAGTGAAACTATGCAAAGGGTGCCAAGTGGGAATAAATGCCATGTGATCTGGCTGGAAGGATTCCTGGAAGATTTCCAAAACAATGAAGTGACACGGTCAGTTTGGACCTTTAGAAATATCACTCCAGCAGCTGTGTGGTGGAAGTTATGAGAAAGGGCCTGGTGTCCAGGTAACTGGTTGTAGTAGAAGCAAAAGGTAGAAAGGGCTCTGTTAAAAATTTCTTGGGAAATATACTGTGCACTGTGGTCATTTCCTTCTGTTGTAGATCCCATAATTATCCTCTCTGCATTGTCACAGGCAGAGTAATATGGGACTGTAATTGGAATCATGAAACAATAAATACAGGCAAACCAGTCTCATTTTTATTTCTATTTCCACCCCTATTTTTATAATAATATATTTCAGTTACATTTTTTAAATAATTGTGAAACAGTAATGGTACTTTTTTCCCCTTCAAAAGCAGTAAATGTATAAATTATCATTAGGATAGCACAACTGCTTCCTCAGGGGATCATAAATCACAAGCTGTGTTCAAACTAACCTCCTTCTGCACTAAACCTTGTTTTACAGTTACCTTGTGTATCTCGCCTCACCTTGTGCTATATACTTATAAGAATATAAAAGATAATATCATGATCTTTAGGGTGTTTTTTACACCAATATTTTTTTAACATGGCCATCTAAAAGGAAATTTAGAGAAGTGTTGAGTACTTTGAAACTTATTTTAGAAATTTCACTCAATCTTTATCCAGGTGGAATGTTTCTGATCCCCCTTCCCAAAGAGTCTTTCTTTGGTATCAGTCAGATTCCACATTTTTAGAAAATATCTACCAGAGTAGTATTTTCATTTCAGTATGAAATGGAAAATCAGACAGACCTTCATGCTCCTTGAATGTTTCTGGGCATGTATTTGTGGTGGTGTGGTCTCATGAACCTGGTTAAGTATCAGAGATCTTCTGTTAGCAGGTCACCCTGGGGTGAGTCTAGTTCCTCTGGACTCTGGGTTTCCTTACCTTCATACCATCTCCAGTAGTACTGACTCTGCCTCCAAAGTTGTGATGAGAACTGAAGAGAAGAGCACATCACAATATGCAGTATCTCCCAGTCAAGGAACATTCATTGTTCATTGATGCCAAACTGGGAGGCCAATCAAAGAGGCCCAAACCAAGAGGTTGGTCTGCCTCTTCCCTTTGCCTGTAGGAGGTTTTGGTAAGTTTCAAATCTTGATGCTAGAATATGTCTCTTTTAGAACTGCTTTAGGCTTTATCCAGATACCACCATGAACCAAGTATAGCATCAGAGTTTGAATGTTAAGACCCCACACAACCCTATAATGCTAAGTTGTAATCACAAGTCAAAAGCAATATTGATGGTGTTTTGCAGATGCCAGCATGCACAGCCTCTTTCCACAAACCCAATTTTGTGTTTCTTGTGTGTGTTGATTCCTGTATTTTTAAGATAACAACCCTTTACTTTCCTTAGTGATTTGCTTTGGCACACACTAAATGGATTTTCACCTCTTCTTTTTTCATGACGCTTTCACAGGAGAGAATAATTGAGCGTTTGAAAGAACAGCGGGAGAGAGATGATCGGGAAAGACTAGAAGAGATAGAATCTTTCCGCAAAGAGAACAAGGACCTGAAAGAAAAGGTCAATGCTTTACAAGCTGAACTCACAGAAAAAGAGGTGAGCCTGGAGGAACCATGAACCACATTGATGTCCTCATAAACCTGTATTCATTGAAGCTGTAAGAAACTTGGTGGAAGGGCTGTGGGAAGGCTTAGGGAACATCGTAACCTTTCTCTTGTTAAAGCTGTATGAATCGGAAGGAAACTATTTCTTGTAACTTCCTTCATCAGCAATGCCCTCTGGATAGCTTCTCTGTTCTGCTGTTTGCAGTGTAGCTCCTTGAGACTTTTCCTTGTGTTGTACCAGCTTTGTGTGGTTTAGTATATTCTGCAAGTTTTTCAAAGTTCCTTGATCCTTTTGATTGAGCATGGATGAGGATGATGAGGATAACTCCACTCTATTGAGGGTCTGCTATATGCTAATGCTTGTGTTAGATGCTTTGTATTCATTTGTGCTTCTCAAATGGACAACCCAGTATCGTAGTTTAGGAGTTGTAGCACCATGATGGACACAAAGATGGTTGCTCTTCTGGAATCTTATTTTTATATTTTAGTAAACAATTTCAAACAGTATTTTCATGCTGTAGCAAATATGAGTATAGAAGGTCAATGCCACCTGTGTTTTACTTTAAAGAAATTTCTTGCTTGGGGATTCTGGAGAGGATGCTTTGGGTTCTCACCCCATACTCCAGCAGATACCTATAACCCCTTCAGTTTTCTTGAGGATGATTTAGTGGAGATGAATGAGAAGTAGTCATACATATTATTTTGTCTAACCTCCACAACTCTGAGATATGTGTCTACAATTGACCCATACATACCTATTTTTGCCTGTAAGAAGTGTGCATCTGCTGTCCAACTGCTTGGGCTCTTTCACCCTGCTGGACTGTCCCCATTGCACAGTTGTATATTTTCCTCCTTCACAGGAGTACCTCACCCTTGGGTGTTGGTAATGTTATACAAACTAAAGTCCTGTATGAATTGGGAATGCAAGTAAAGAAGAAAAAGATTTGATGAGTTAGAGGAGTTTTGAGGAAACCCAGAAGCAAAATCCCTAAAATTTATGCCTGCAGTGTTTTGGAGAAGAGATTATTTCTTTGAAATGAAAATTAAGAATTTAAGTCTTCTGCCTACTGTTTTACTGCTAATCCGGCTTGGGGTCCTATACTTACTATAGTTTGTGTGGAAGGAGGAAGGCACAGAAGCTTTGTCCTCATGTGTCACATTCCTCACTGATTAGAAGTGTTGTTTTTTTATACATCTACAAAATACCTTGTACAACAAATTCCAGATTAATATCTGAGGAGCACAGCCTCACTAAGTTGACTAAAATGGCCATCAAAATTCATGTTTTAAAACTTATAAAGAAGAATAGCATAGATTTGCAGTTAGCAAGGATCTTATAATTTAGATGGGGTGATTGTATGTCTTTACTATGACAAAATAACTAGATTATAAGGTCCTTTGTTGTTTCGGTGGAAGTGATATGATAAGTATATGAAATCAGAGTTGTAGACCTGTGTTGAGACTGTTATCTTCCTTTAATAGCTGGGTGACCTTCAACAAGATGCATAGCTAATGTGAGCCCTAGTTTCCTGACTTGAAACATGAGAATGGCTAAGCTGTCCCTCACAGAGTGGTTAGGAGTGTGTTGCTGGGTGATGATGCCCTTCATCCTCAAGGTCATTCCAGTGCACATGAAGCAGCCTAGCATAAATTGTTATTATTTTCAGAAAGATTCTGTGTGCTTAGTAACTCCAAGGTGCTGCAGAAAGATAAGAAAGTAATTCACACTGCCTGATTTGGGATGAAATTGGATTTTTTAGTCCCATAGTTAAATGTTGCTACCCATTTCATATTTGAATAGTGAACATTGCCCTTATATGTAGTAAAGTTATGTTCATAGATACATGCAAATATTTATATCTTTAGTTTTTGAAATTTAGATTGAACAGTGAAGTTCTTGGTTTCTGGACATGGTTGATGGCTGGAAGTATATAGGTAACCCCGTGTCTGAGTTTGGGGAGATTCATTCTATCTGTTAAATCTGAATTACAAAGGACTGGAACATGCAGTCTACTTTACTCTAAAATTCAAAATATTTTTATTTTTGATTCTCCAGAAGATGTTTGAAAAACAGTGATCTGTTTAAGTAATGGAATTTGATAAAAATTTAATAGGGACCAGTGTGGTGGCACATGCCTCTAATCCCAGCGATTTAGGAGGCTGAGACTGGGAGATTGCTAGTTGAAAGCCAGCATCAGCAACCTAGCAAGGCCCTAAGCAACTTAACAAGACCCTGTCTCAAAATAAAAATAAATTAATTAATTAAAAGGGCTGGAGATGTGGCTCAGTGGTTAAGTACCCCTGGGTTCAATTCCTGGTACCCCCCTAATTTTTAAAAATGGGATTTTAAAAAGTTTTAGATTTACCCTTAAGGGGAAGCATTAAAGTCAGAATCTTCTTTCGTTTTGGTCTTAGAGTCTTTATGGTCTGATAGCGGTAAATGTAAATGAGGTTCAGGGTGTCTGTTTTGCCATGATAGGTTAAGACCTTACTTCTATCATTAGCATGACTTTGAGATGTGAAAAGTGCATTTACCACACCGTTTGGTCACATTTGATTCTGCTGCAATTAGATCCTGCTTGGTTCTGTAAGCTGGCCAACTTTAATTTCCTGGCCAGAGCTGACTATTGTTACCTTGGTAAGACTATATTTACCCTTTCTGTCTAATGCATACTTTATTGTTAAGTATAGAATCAGTATATTCAAATTGAAGACATAGCTAGGAGAAATTGTGGTGTTTCACTTACCAGCATTCTTTTTCTTTCAGTCTAGTTTAATTGACCTCAAAGAACATGCATCTTCATTAGCTTCTGCAGGACTGAAAAGGGACTCCAAATTAAAATCTCTAGAAATAGCCATTGAACAAAAGAAAGAAGAATGTAGCAAACTGGAAGCCCAGTTAAAAAAGGTAAGTGAGGTCTAAGAAAAAAAAAAAAACACGCTCATTTTCAAAAGAATTCATAGAATGGGAAAGGAAAAGGCATTTTTCAAAAGAAAGAAACTCCTTATCTTTGCTGTCTACTGATAAAAGTATTACTCTTTATTCCTAAGAAGTCTACATTAAATCTGTCTGTGAACCTAAAAAATTATCTTAAGTTTCCTGCCTAAAGAAAACTTGAAAAATAGATGAAATTAGTAGAAGAAATGAAAAATATAAAAACCAGCCATTATTCTCTGGGCAAATCTCAACTATCATAAAAAATAAATGGAAATGTTTTCAGCAAACCAAGGAATCCAGGGGCCCCATTATACTTCGATGAACTAGTACTACTTTTAGAAGTAGGTTAATTTTTGTATGAGAACTTTGCAAATTTTTCCTAACAACATTAAATTCTAGAAATTCACCACTATAGTCAAGTCCCAGCATATCTGTAGAATGACTGTTTATCCTTGACCCCAGATGACCGTACTGTCTAAGAAAGCTTGTTGTGTATAGAAGGCTGTGGAAAGGAAAGCAGGGGCTTTCCATTGTCACATTCACATGCTTTCTCTGACCTGGACATTCTTGTGGAGTGCATTTCCAGTCATGCATGGTTCCTTTGACTTTTTCCCTGTGTTGTTTGGTACGTCTGCACTCATCGTTCACATACAAACTCATAATGTTATGAGTTTAAGCATTTCGTTTCCCTTTGACAACTTATAAACTTATTCAAAACAGATAAGAATTTAAACATTAACATATAAAGCATATAATAAAAGTTTGACGGTGTAATTCATAGCACACTAGAATCTACAGTTATGAAGACAAATGACATGGATGGACAGGGATGTGATGGAATCACATACTGATGGAAGAATCATTCCAAATATTTTAAAATTTAATATCCTATTTCTTATGGTGCTGTGTAACTGAAATGTGACTAAAGTTATGCTCACTTTACAGAACATTTTAGGAAATTGTCATTAGAAATTTTACACTGAGTCTACTTACTAGTACAGAAAGAGATAAATGTACAAATTGAATCTCTTTATAACAAAATGGCAAGAAAAATCTCTGTATTACAAAATATGTTTCATAGTGCACTCACCATTTACCTGATTTCAAGCAATATTAAGTAGGAATCCTGAGCAGTAAATAAGAGAATTAAATTATCCATTCAAGGGCATTTAAGTGCAGTTTGATTTGGCTATTTATGCATTGGGAGTATCATATACATTATTGACACATTATAAAAGTGCCCTTCAATATGGCATACATGCATATGCATATTAGGATATATATCTATGAAACATCATTTTTACTTAATAAAACAATTTTGTGACCATAAGGTAGGCGCCAAGATAACTTTATGAGACAGAAATTCACCAGATTCTTGGTATGGTCTTCATGATCTTACCTCACTTGTAGTGTGTGTGAGTGTGGAATGAAATAGGACCTCAAATATATATGATCCTGAAAGACACCCTCCATCAACTCTGATGAGCTGTTATGGAGGTCAGGCCACCCTGTTTATGATTTCTGTAGACCTCATGCACTGCACCCTCCTTTTTAGTGTAAGTCATCTCTGGAATTTGAAATTCCCTGGCAATTAAAAAGAAGGTTCACATATTGATGCTTATAGTTTTCATGTACATGACTTAGTTTAATAAATCAACATCTATGCAATTCAGTATAGTTTCTTCAGCATAGCTGTGGTTTGCCCGAGAGATCACTCATAGTGTTTTCCTTGTACTCTCAGGTAGACAAATTTACTGGAATTCACAGACCAAATCCTGTAAATATTATATCATTATTCCTAACAGATTTTAACATTTTGTAATATCACCAGAAGTGAAATGACAAATATGGTGTCTTTCTATAAAGAAACTATTTAATTTATGAAAGGATAACTTATTTCTAAGTATTTACATAATCTTTGCTTATACTGTCTCCTAAGTGCATAGTACAGTGAGTTTAAATAAGGTAATGATAATTTAAATATTTTTATTCCTAACCTGTAGATGTTGTTTTGTTGCTTTTGGCTCTTTAGCATTAACTACATTCAAAAGTTTAAAATAGTTTTTTTCAGTAGTCTTTAATTCTGCTAATAAATAGTTCCATAAAAACCTCAAGTACCCATCACCTTAAAAAGAATTGAGATCTACATGAAATATTTGAAATTATAAGCCAACAGTATGTGAATATGCATATAAACACATCATTTACTCATGGAAAAATAAGCAGCTATAAAAGCTTAAGGAGTGTCTGGGCCTCCTTTTTAGTAAAAGGGTTTGTGACTTGTGAATAAAATATAAAGGTTGACTAAATGAAAGCTGAAAATATAGTAGTTTTATTATGTCATAAATACACCATGTATTCTCAGTGGAACTTTGCTCAAGATTTGTGAGAATCCAGTATTTTTTGCCTTAAAATCTATACAAGATCATAGATGTGTTTATTTGAACAGGCACCTAGTTGGCCAAACACAGTGAAATCCAAAGAGAGATTTTAATTGATTTTTATCTTACGAATAATGCTTAACTTTGATAAGCTGAATTTTTACATAACAGTTTGGGCAGAACATTCATACACATTATTACTTTTAACCCTTCATTATACTGTGTAGATTTAAGACATCTTCAAATCCTTAGTGATGAAAAATGGTTATAGCAGAAAAGGAATTACCCTTTAGACATTCCATTCCTCCTCTTAAACATGGCACAGTCAGATGTTCATGTGTGAGGAAATCTTTACTGATATTGGTAAGACTGATTAAACAATGCTAACCAAATTATGAGTAACCAGTAGTTATGAGTGTGCTTTATAATTCAGTGCATTCATCAATTATAGACATCGACATATAGAAAAGAACCTGATTATTAATGCATGGATCATATTGGTTTTTTTTAAGAGTATTTGAGGTTCAAGTTGTAGAAGGTAATTGATTTGTATGACTAGATCAGTTCAGAAGCAACAGTAATTCAAAGTGTTATGATTTATGCTCCTCAGTAACTTTCTAATTAATGTCATGCTTGAGGAGAGGGATTTTTAAAACCATGATAAAATCATTATTTATTTATTCAAGTTGAAGGAACAGGAATCTGGCTCATAAAAAGGCATATCTCAGTTTAAAGCAAAGTAACAGTTTCCATAATATTTCACCCTCTACACCTTGATGTCTAGCCCAAAATTATTGGTGCAGGTATTTAAGAAATATCGCTGGAGGGTGCGATTTAAAATAATATTCAGTACATTTAAATCCAGAAACCTAAATCTGCACAAAATTGACAGGAGACAATTACAGATTCTAAAGTACTTGGAACATAACAGGATATCTTTGAAAAGTATTTATTTCTTAATTCTAAACTAACAGTAGAAACTGGTAATGGGCAATGGATAATACTGTATTGTAGGTCTCTTTTGTTATCTTACTGACTTAATTTTTTTTCTTTCTCCATTTAAGTTAATCTGATAATGTTTTGTTTACTGATATTGTGCTATTGCTAACCTGCCATTTGCTAATCTGTTATTTTTCTGGAGTTAGACTGAATAGAATATTCAAGCTTGTGTTGGTATAAAAGAAGAGCTATAAATTCAATGATAAGATTTAATTAATCTTTTATTATTACTATCTTTGAAGTTCAGGTAATAAATTGTGGGCTTGGCCAAAAGTACTTCTTCTGATTCATTGCTGGAGGCCCGCACTTCATGTATCATCAAAAGTGGACAGCTTTCTTTATTTCATGGGTTATTTAACTTGAGAAAGGGAAAGTAATACAAACCTTAAATTTCTTATTCCAGCTATTCTTTTATCGGAGCCAAAATCAACATTTGTATTTCCCTAGAGCCTCTCACTTTCACTGTGGAATGTTTAGAAACTGAAATTTCTTCTTTTTTAATGACCAGTTCGTCTGTGCGAATGCACTGGATTTGTTGAGCTAATGTTGTTTTTCTGGATCTTTCCTTCTTTCCTTGTCTGTGCTTCAATGCCTCCCCAACTTTGCAATGTAGCAAGCTGAGCAGTTGTTCAATCAGATGTACAACCCAGTAAGTCATTTCTGAAAGTTCCCGCTGTAACATATCAAAGCATGAGGATCCACTGATCACATGTCACAAAGTGCCATACTGGGGAGGCTTCAAATATATTTATTAGTCCCTTCTCATTTCCTTTCTATCAAAAGAAATGACTTGTGCGGAGGCCATTGTCATTTCTTTTTAAATTAAAAAAAAAATTAAGAACTCAAGGAAATATTCTTAGCTTCTTTTTAATTTCAAATCTATTTTTCTGTAGAAAAACAGAAGTCAGTTAAAGATTTACACTCATGAAATTCATCCTCAGATCCTTTGGACACAGACTAATCTATGTCAAAAGGAATAGCATTTGTAAAATAGCAAAAATTCAATGTATGTTGTGTTGATGAGATAGACATTAAATTTAGATTTAACAATAAAAATCTCTTTGAGATTAGTAAATACATAACATTATTGTGGGGTTTTTAAGACATGTTTTAAAAACATGTCATTTGATTGGGGCAAACCATAATATAGTATCCTAATAACAGATAATAGCAGTTCTCCTTATAGCTTCTCAGAGTACAAAAATCAGGTAAAAAGTAAAAAAAATTTATAACATGGTCCAGATGCCACCACTATTTTCTTTTATCCTAATGATGGGTATATTTATGTGAAGCAGTTTGTTTCTTTATTTTTTTAAAAAGAAGTTTTGTTTTTTTTTCTTTTTTGTCTCAAGTTGGCTTACTGGGAGAAATGTTTCTAAAGGTGGCTAGAATTTATCATTTGGCAAATATGATCTGAACTATCATGCATTTCTAATTATCTCCTATTTATAAATTTCCATCATGTGAAAAAAGTAATAGGATGGATAAAGGAAACAAAGTTAGCTAACTACTTTTTGTTAAGCATGCTCCAGGATACATTTAGTTTGATGTGCAAGATATTCGGGTGTACTTAATTAGATTCATCCTCCACCCTTTATTCTTTACAACCAATTTTATTTTTGCAAACAGAATTCCTAAAGCCCTGTAGGAGCATCTTTATTAACTATTTCCCAAGCATGGATTTTAGCAGAGTAAGCAAAAGCAATCCAGGTTTCCTTTCCCTTAGCACTTGAATGGAAGTGTTAATAAGCAGGCTGAAAACAGTAGAGAGGTGAAGAAAGACAAATAAGATTGGAATATCTTTAAGCTTGAAAACACACCCTGGGAAAAATGCATGTTCTTTTTTCTTTTTTTTAAAGATTATTTTAAAAGGGTATGAAGTAATCCTGCTGAAATTATTTCATACCTACTTGTTAGGGACAGGAAAAAAAACCTAAGCATTTCATAATTGTGGGAGGTATAAAGGACAGATGGGGATGGCTTTGTTTCTACAGCAGTGAAAATTTACCACAACCATATCAGGAGTTCATATCCCTGTCTGGATAGGTAGGATCAAAGACACAACTCAGTTAACTTTTAGGCTATTTTTAGAAATATTGATCACAAACATCATCAGCTTCTCCTTCACTTCAGCCACAGTGATCTTCTTCAGTATACATAAGCAAACTTTTTAGTCTTTTCAGTGACTAACTCAAAAATCATTGACTGACTTTCCTCCCCAAGTTAATTAAGCTAGCCCATTGGTTTGGCATCCTGGGAATATAGCCAACCCTCATTATTTTAACTCCCCTTGCCTACAGATATTCTCAGGGTCCAATTCTTTTTTGGACTGATAGGAACAGACCATGATGGATTTTCTCTCCTTAATAGTCTTTAAAAAATGACTATGTTTTCCCTAGTAATAAAAATAATATATGTCCACAGTACAGAATTTGTAAAGTATAGAAGGATATAGAAAAAAAAAATAACAGGATGTCTCAGTGCATAGAGATAATCACTAGGAACATTTGGGTTGCTCCCTGCCCAGGCATTTTTTTTGCTGTTACTGTTCTCTTCTGTTCTTTATCTTCCTCTTTTCTTGCTTTCTTCTTTCTTCTTACTTCTCTTTTTGCCTTTCTTCTCCTTTCTCCTTTATCTTTCTTTTTCTTACCTAATATTCTATTTCTTTTTATGAAGTTGTGTTAAAGTGATTATTCCATTTTATATCCTATTTTTAAAAAACTGCATATCATTAAAAATTTTTCATATCGTTAACTATTCTTCCAAAATGTCCTTTCAATGGTGTTTACTGTTCTATGTTATTTATATTAATGTTGGTCATTTCTTTGCTAGTAGTATAAATAATGCTCTGAAGAAAACTTTATTAATTTCTCCACACTTTTTTTTCCTCATAGAATAAATTTCTGGGCAAATATTTTTAAAAACTCGCCATAGTTCCTGCTGTATTGCAGGAACTCAGAGAAATTCTGCCAAGGCATACTTCTTTAAGCACTGGTTAAATGTGGCCTTTTGGTCACACCCTGGCCCCTACTGAGAATTGTCATTTTCCATAACTTTGAAAAATGCTCAGGTAGAAATTTTTTCTTTTTAACTCTCTGTCTTTAATTATTAATGAAAGTTAGGATTTTAAGTATATTTTCTTAATATTCTCCTTTCTGCAAATTGTTTAAGTCATTTAAGCATTTCCCTTTGAGTATCCTGGTTTATGCATCAGTTTATATGGAGTATGCTGTGGCTTATATAGAAATTTTGTCAGATTTGTGGAAATTTTATTTAATTAAAAAATTTCTTTTTTAAAAACATATAGAATTATTTTTAGGTTCTCAACCTGTGTTTCTCTTTAGGATATTCTCATTGCCTTTATTCTTTGAAGTCATTTTCCAGTTTTATTTGTGGGCTGAATTTAAATTTTTTGCATTGTTATGTTTTACATAAATTTAACTCCTTTACCCCTTATTAATTTATTTTGATTCATTATGAGAAGTGAGGTTCTAACTGTATTTTTCTAAATTATCGACCAATATCCTACCACTGTTTATCAAATAATTCATTCTTTATCCACTAATCTTGATATACTGTATTGTATACTGAGCTCTCATGGATAAATGGCTTAGTTTCTGGGCTGTTCTTCAAAATTTTAACTATTGTGGTTTTGAGATTCCACCTTAATTCTTTTTGCTTTTCATTTTGTCTTTTTTTTTTTTAAGTTTCATTTGTTTGTTTTAAGGTTCTTATCTTATAATTTTCTATCTTTCCAGGTGGATTTCAGGGTCACTTTATCAATTTAATAGCACAACTGGTGATTACTTTAATCTAAATTACATTCATTCTAAACAGTGATTTTAGAATGATCAATATATTTCCAGTTTTATTTTTTTCCATTTATAAACTTGATACAATTTTTTATTCATTTCAGTGGTTTTTCATAGTAAAGTTTTGACATATTTCTATTATAGGACTGTGGGGTTTTTTTATAGATAGTCTGAAGCAGTTCTACATTTATAATTTTTAAGTTGCTATTTGAATGCTGTCTTTCTTATATTTTCTAACCAGTTATTGGTATCAAGGAAATGTCTTTTATTTCTTTTGTATGTTTATTTTGACCATGGCCATCCTTCACATTTTTGGTGAATTATACTCATTATTTTTGCTACATAAGGTAAACAGTCATCTCTAGGTATATCAGAATATACTCAATCAGAGTAAACAAGGATTAAGCTTTGAAGTCCTCCCACATGTATTTTTCCCCATAGAATAGAAATAAACCATTTACTTTTTTTCTTCTTTATTCCAGTCAGTCCATTGTACTGAGTGATACTCTGATGCCATTTCTAAAATTTTGCCTTTGTATCCTGACTCTTTCTTATAATGATAATCTTTCTGTAGCTTAACTACTAATCTTTGCTCCTGGAGGAGTTTTGTCTTGTCATTGTGAAACACTGTGCAGGGTATCTTCAGTTGAGTCCTTTTTCTTCCCTTGGTTCTTAATTCTAGACAAATAATATGGTTTTTTCATCAGGCTCAAATACCTTCTTTGCTGTAGCCCTCCTAGTATTGTGCTCAATGATGGTATCCAGGATTTGTTCCTAAAATTTTAAGTAAATATTTAGAGTTTCTGGACCCCTCAACTTAGTGCTTGTATAATATCCTCGTTACTGTATGATACTGGGCTTGGTACTGCCGGGGATACCCTTGAGACTGGTCTGATGATCCCAATACAGGAGCCTCCCCTTTGACCCTCACCTAATTACTAGCTATTTGAAATCCCATCTCTACTGAACATATCTTTTGCAGGGATCATGTTTTACAAGACAAAAAATCAAGCATTTTTTCCATTCCAGAGAAAGAAAAAAAGTCTTGTCAATGTTCAGTGAGGTCTTCCTGAATTATGTGTCATCATAGGACTATGTGATCCCAGGAGCGTAGTGGGCTGAATTACAAATGCTATCACAGTGATTGTTTAGGCTTAGCGCTTTCTTTTTATGATATTTTTAGCTTATTTCTGAAAACTATTTGATTTATTCTTAGACTAATATCCCCTGACATAATGGAAGATTATAGCTGTTTAAGAGATAGCTCAGTGAATACATATTGCATGTGCGAACACAGGCACACACAAGAACACTCACTGGATGTTCTAAAACATAGGATTTCAAAAAAGAACTTTGGTTCTTTTACATTGCTAATTTTAGGAAATTCCAAAGTTAACAGGAACCACGTTAATAATTATATTTTGGTTGGGGAGTCTTATTGTATGTAAAGCATATAGTTGGTTCTTTTTATTTTGGGGGTTTGACATGAGAAAAAGTATTTGGAGTATTTGTTTTATATATATATATATATATATATATAATTTGTTTCATCTATGAAAAAAAATCTCTATTTGGTATGGTTGTTTTAACATAAAAATTGTAAATATACTGGATGTAGTTAGCTTGAATTGTGAAAGAGTAATTTCCCATAAAACTAGGAAGTACAAGATTTCGATGTATTTCATCATTAGTTTCAAAATGTATTACTTAGGCTCATTTATTATGCCTAGTATTGATTTATTGTATTTAAATGAAATTTAAATTTTATAACATGTTTTAGTTCTTTCTCCCCCTTAGAAACTTTATTTTAATAAGTTAATATTTTGTTCATAACTTAGGATTGAGTGAAGATCGGTACTCTTTTAGAAGATTGAAATTGAGTATAATGTTTGAAATAGTTTATATGCCCTGTTCTGCTGTTAAGATATGAAAGGAATGTTAAAGCGCTGTCAACGGACTCTAAACCAGCAAAGCGCCGGAGTAGAGAATCATATTTTTATAGTACATGAATTTATCAAGTTATTGCTAAAACCCAGAAGCAGCAGGGATGAAAAATCAACAGATTAATTAGTTAACATTCTGCTTGTATTTTATGTTCATGACTAATCATTTGCTTATTTTGAGGGAAATGATTTTTTATTAAAATTGTTAAGACTCATTTCAAAGGGAGAGTGTTATATAATATTATAATTGAATATTCCCTGCCTTGTTTCACAGCAGGTTTTTTGGACCAAAGTTAATGCTTTCCTTCCTAGGCATCTGGAATGATGAACTAGTATTTTACTAAAAATAATCAGTGATCAACCTTTATAAAATTAAGTTCAAATAAAGTTGGGATGTGTGATTTGGATACCTGTCAGCCTCCAGCTTTGGCTTTAGCGGCTTTTTGCTTTAGTTTGATTTAGATAGAGTATTAATCTGAATTTTTTTTTCTTCTTTTTTTTCCCGAAACAGTTCTAATTTCTTTAATTAAAATAACTGTTAGGTATTGTAATGCTGTTCATCCCAAGTCATGAGTAGATTCCTCTTTATTCTTGATACAGGCTTTCAAAGTCATTCACATCAAAATGCTGAGACAAAAACTTTGTTTTGATTATTCCCATTTGTGGGGAAATTTTCCTACATATGGAAATACAAGAGACATAATCTGGAGTCCCCAAAATCATACTGATCTAATATACAATACAGAAATTTCTGTAATGCCAGTTCCCAATTTTTTGTGTGTTTCTAAAAAAAAAAAAACTTTTAAGTGTTATTCTATATAAGTTTTAAGAAATATTTTGAGGCAGAACCAGACACCTTAATTTGCCTTTAAACTGATTTGTTTAGTCAGCAAAGTTAAATCACTACATTAAGAAAAGAATGCTTATTCTTTGGTTTTCATGACCAAGGGAATTTTCTTGTAAGTGACCGTGTTCTTGAACATGTTAATGATAAATAAATTTTGAAACAAGAAAATACACATCAATATGGATTATCAAGAGGGAACAAAGTTGATGTGCCTTAGAATAATGGAACAGGCAAGCACTTCCCATGTGGGGGAGCTAAATTCAAACCAACAGATCCCTAAGAGGAAATAATTACTGGACATTTTCAATTTAAATCTTGCATAGGTCAGAATCATGCCATGGTAGGAATTTCTTGTGGAAATGATTTATTGAAATAAGTCATAAGTCTCCTCCCCAACATTTGACACAGTATCTAGGGTATATTAGGGTAAATCTGTTACCTACTTTGATCTGTATCAGGGTCAGCCAGTCCAGATTAAAGAGCTCATCATTTGAAAAGAATATTTCCTAAATATAAATAAAGTGCTTCCTTCCATTTTTAGAGCTTGTTCTGGCCTTAGAATTTTGAAGGTAGCATTGGTTTTATAACCTCAGTTTCTTCCTTTATTTATTTTTCAGTATAGTGTCACCCCTGTGTCTGTGGATCTGAGTATAACACACCCATGTTAAAGCTTTCAGCCTATCCTTTGAAAATTTGTGATTTACATTGAATAGAGCTGATAATCTTTACTAACAGTTATAAATTCTTTGGAGACATCTGTGTCCAATATTTAGGATGAACAGGGACTCCACCAGCCTTCCCAATCAAGGGAAGCTCTGTCATTGTTTTCATGTGACTCAAGAAGCAGCTCTTATTCTCACATCTTTATATAGCTCTTTTAAAACCTTTCTTTTAACATAATCATGTTTTAAAGTTATCTATTTACACATTTATTTAAAAGTCCTTCTAAGAATTCTAGCATCAAGATTGAAGGTAATTTGACTTAATTTTTTTTTCCTTGAGTCAGTAGAAATTAACCTGACAGTAGAAACAAAAAGAGATATTTAACTCACAGATATTATTGAGGCTTGTCTATTCTTTTTAAAAGGAAGAATCATTAGCACATGCAAGTATTATCTAACAGATACCAAGCCAGCTATAAACTTCGCTATGGGCTTTATTTTAATAATATGACTTAATTCAACATCACATGAGGTCAGGAGAGCTATAGTCTAGTATACCCCCACCCCACCCCAGCTTTCTGTATCTCTCAACATCCCATGAGTCCTTTAACCATACCTAGTTACTGAGTTGAAAAGACTGTGAACCCATCTAATTCCACTCAGGGTTGAAAACTGGCATGGGGGTATCCTCCTCAAGGATTTAAGAAAAAAGACTTGTGCTTACATACCTACACTAGCAGCTGGCAGGCTGTGCTTTCTCTGAAAACCTACCAGGGAAGCTTTTAAAAGAAGCCCATAGTATTTTGGTGATGAAAATTCAATAAACCTATTCACTTAGCTTTTTCTGGGATGCATATTATAATATGATAAAAATGCAAATGAATAATACCTTCCCCATGTTCCTTATTTTGTAGTTTTTAGTGTCTTTAGAAAGGTTAATTTATTTGCCATAGATATTAGACACAGTGTTAGATTTAGAATCTAGGTCTCAACTAGTAATCCTGTACCCACTTATTCCAATTAATGATGATAATCAAAGAATAAAGACAACCTAGATAAACCACAGTTGTTAACTGCTAGCTCATTGTGAATCTTTAAAAATCAGAATTGGGAAAGAAATTTTGACTCTGGACAGAAACAGGCAATCAAAATATGGTTATTCATTTGTTTTGAATGCTTCTACTTGCTCATTAATTAATTAATGCTTTTTAAAGATCTCAATGTCCTTGGTTTGGATAGTTTAAGAAATCTCAGGAGAAGGTTTTTAGCTTCTGTAGAATAATGGTAACAGGATAAAAATGAAAGAGGCTAATGTGAAGATTTTACTTCTTAGTTTTTTAAAAACTGCATATTTTTAATGTTTTTCTGTCACAGAATTAATGAGTTGATTTTTATTTTTCACAAATAGAAATAGGTGTGTGGAATACTTTATTTTAAAAACAGAATATCTACATTTTAAAAATGGAGATTAGGGAATTTAAATATCTATTACTTCAATTTAAAATAAAATTATTTGATGAATAAAATCCTGAAGGTATATTAGCTCAGATTTCTCTTTCAGACTATTTTAATTATAATGAAAAAGTTTAATAATCTACTATAATGAAATCCTGAGTGATTACTAAATAAAAATAAATGTCTTCGGAGATATGTTGGTAAAAAGGAGTTAATTGGTACCTGATAGTATGTTGAATTGATATTTTTTCCCAAGTTCTTTGAAGTTGAGTTTATTTCTTAAATAAGTAAATCTTAGATGAAAGAACATGAAAGCAAATTATTCCCCTTTTATCCTCATGCTTAAATAATATGTTACATGCAAAATTATTATTTTAAAAATGATTATTTTGTCATAAGTATGAAATTTATTTTATTTATACTAATTTTTGAATTTTTTCTACTAAATCATTGCAAAGACTGTCAACCCTCTAACAGTAGTATTAGTATTAATTTTTCTAACATGCATGATTCATTGGACCCCACAATAGCTGTAGCTTGCTTGCCTTGTTTTTTCCCTGAAATTAAACAAAAGAAAACGTGCAGTAAAGTCCAATGAACATCTGCTCTACGTAGCAAAACAGCAGAACAACTGAAATCTTAATAAATTAATATTTTATTGCTTCATATGTGGATTTTGGAGATCCATACAGATATGACTCCTCTGAACTTTCTATGTTGAATGTGCACTGTTGTTAAACTACTTGTTTTTTCCCTGCCTGCTCTTTGAAGAAGTCAATTAGGAATAATGGGAAACAAGGGGTAGGCAAAACATTGCAGTGCAGTGTTATTTCCATCTGTCTGGGAATATTTCAGCCAAAAGTTTATTTTGGGAAAAAAAAAAGCCGCAATGCATTCACACACAGAAGACCACAAATACTTTGGCTGCAAATTATTCTGCAGTGTTGTTGCTCTGTTGTTGCCCGTGTGTATTTTTATGTGTAAAGCTACCACCCACCCATGCATGTGTTTGCAGATTCTTGTCTGTGTGCTTGTTCATGAATTAGCTCTCATCTTCCTCATATTTAGGTTAAGTTTATTCAAGGAACAAGAATTTATGGGTATGACTGTTGGCTGGAAAGCCCTTCCCTCACATCTGAGTCTTTCTTCCAAACTACATCTTCTGCTGAGATTTCTCAGTAGGGCGACATGCTCAAAGATCAGTCAACCAGTCTCTTCTATGTTACCTGGCTCTACATAGGCCCTTGATGGATCTTGGAAAACAACTTAATATGTTTAATATGTGCTGCTTAAGTTCTCTGCATTGGAAATGTGAGAAATTGAATTGTCTTGGTTCTGCTTGCCAAATGAGCAGTAATGAAGACACCAGAGTCTCTAAACCCACCTATGCCCCACTTTTTAGTGGAAAGAAAAGCCCAAAGTAGCACCTTTTAATGGACCAAAATATCAATAAAGAAAGGAATTCCCTATATGAAACTAACATAATTTTAAATCAACATTTTCTAAGGTAACTGGAATTGTGTGATATTCTCATTTTGCCTTCTCACTGACAGAATACCCATAACTCTTGTTGGTTATTTTGTCTCTAAAGTTAATTTCTGGGCCATTGGTGGCTACAATATCTACTGTTATAAATTGTTGTCTTAACTACATTCTTTAAAAATGTAATGTTGAAGGCACATAATATTGAAGATGACTCCAGGATGAACCCTGAGTTTGCAGACCGACTAAAACAGCTTGATAAAGAGGCATCTTACTACCGTGATGAATGTGGCAAGGCCCAAGCCGAAGTGGACCGGTTGCTGGAGATCCTCAAAGAGGTGGAAAATGAAAAGAATGACAAGGACAAGAAGATCGCAGAACTTGAGAGGTAAGTTTTACAGACATGTGAACTGTCAGTGCTGAGTGAGCACTGATGACTTGGTTGTCCATTTCAGGTTGTGGTTAGATTTAGAATGCACATTTGCACGCTCGGATTACAAGTTGGAAACATGTTATATACGAGGAATATGGCATGATAAGAGATGATGTTGTTTCTATGGGATACCAAGAAAGTAATTGGCTTATCTTTTGAAGGATTATGTACTTCTTCAGTGTTTAAAGAAATAGTGGTTGCCTTTCTTGAGTGATGTTTGTCTGTTCTAGCATTTGTGCCAGCAGTGTACATAAAAATTTGACTACCTGAAACCTCTGTTCTTTCCCATTAAAGATGAACAGTTGTGGTGTATGGTTTGTCTTGAGCAAAAGAATATGGAAGAATACAATTGGGAATTCTTCACTCAAGATAGGAGGAAGGGAAGGGAGCTGATATCTTTTGGATGTCTTTTGGCACATTACAGCAATTTCATCCTTGGGATTTATCTTTTGAGAGGATCTTATAGCACTTGGAAAATAAATATGCTTGAATAGGGCCTACATGATAGCAAATTCTGTCTGAACACAAGGAGGGTTGTATCAGGGTTCCAAAGTATTTAGATTTTCAGATAAATCATATCCATATTATATTCATGTGTAGTGGGATCTCTAAAAATAAGCTTCCTATCAATGCTTTTTCCTATATTTCATATATGGGAAGAACTTTCTGAATAATCTTACGTAATTCCATAACCTCTAAGGATTTCTCATTGGTTCAGCAATAAGGCAGAATTTGTCTTTCTTAGATTCAGTCCATATGGAAGAGATCAACAAAGTTTGAATAAATCAGTGAATGTTTGCCAGGTCTGATCAAGACACTTGTGAGGCCCTAAAGGACTTCAAGATATATGCAAAGTAGCTCTTTGTGGCCTTGCAGAAAGATGATGGACTTTAGCAAAAGAAAGACCAGGGTTCATATTTTGTGTTGGCTTTATGCTAGCTGTGTGGCCTTGAATCTTTTTGGAAATGAATCTCTAATAGCCTTTTAAGATGTGTTATGCTTTGCAAGCACCTAGTCCCCATGCAAGAAGATGAAATGATGTTTATATCATTATTATTAACAGTTGAATGCTAAAAAAATATTTAGTATTAAGTGGCTCTGTACGTAATGTATAGGTTATTTGCAATAAAATTTCAACAACTTTTTCAAATATTAAATTAATTAATAATTTCTTTCAATACCCTTAGCCTAAGTTTAATGATGATCAGGTAATTTTGGTTCAGTGTGACCAATCTTAGTAAGGAAGGCAAGAACCTCTTTCATCTTGAGGCCACCAAACAAATAAAGTTCTTAAGGATTCTGTTTTCATTTAAAAATGTGGGAATGTTCTGCCAGTCTACTGATTCTTAAAAAGCTGGGGACACTGTTGATTTTAGATATATCTATCTACATGACTATTTTGAAATTATATTTCAGGGCCACAGTTTTTCTAAAACAGCTACCATGAGATCACAGGGAAGTTATCTGTGTCTTTTTTATTGGTGAGAAAACAAAGACCTCAAAAAGTTGAGTGACCTTCTGGAGATTGGTCCCATGGTCAGAAAGATGAAAAACTATAACATTATAGTTATAACATTATGTTTCTGGACTGACTTCTCATCCACTGCTCTGAGAAGCAGTGAGCCCTATGGCAGATATCCTAGATAATAATACCAATAGTATTAAAAATAGCAATTATAATCATAATGATAGAGTCAGTATATTTTATGCTTAGTGAGCTAGATAGTCTGCTAAACACTTAAGCTGCAATAGGGTATACATTTAATCTTACCCATAACACAGAAACTATCACGATCTCCATTTTATAGATGAGAAATTATGACATATACAGATTAAGTAACTTTCTTAAAGATTGCAGAACTTGTAAGGTTCAAAGTCGGGATTTGAACCCAGGAACAACAGAGGAGATACTGAGAACAATCCCTTCCACCAATGGGCCAAAATGGAGAAACGAGTCCAGCAGTGCCAAGCAACCTACTGAGAGCCCTTCCTGAGCAGGCATTGCAGGGCAACCACAAGAGATCTGCCTTTTCTTTATTAAACCAGCTCCCCAGAACTGTAATTGAAAATAAGGATTTAACTACTATAAACATTTACATATAAATACCTTAATTGTCTAGTTGGGCAAACAGGTCTTAGCTAGACACTATTGCCATTAAATCATCAAGAATATTCACAGTTTTATTTCTTCAATATGGAATGCATTAAAGCAGCAGTGATTTTTACAGGCATTTATCTTTATGTACTTTCTGCACATTTTCTTTATCTTTGCCTTTGCCTCTCCTTAAAGCTGATGCCTCCCAGGCTCTGTAATTCATAAAACGTGTGGTGGGACTTGACTCTGTCCCAGGTCTCTGCCTGCCTGTGTCTTGGGTCCAGCAGCAGAACGTAGTCTGGGAAATGTCTGAGCCCCAGCTCCAGCATAGCCCCTAGGGAGGCGGGGGTGGAGATCTAGAGGGGAAGCATCTTGGTAAAAGGAGGACTAAGCTTTGGCCTGCCTTTCTGAAGCATGATCTGCTGGGCTACATGTGTATTCCGACTAAAACATCTTCCTTGAGTTGTCAGGCAGTTGCTTCTACATTTGCTGGCTTAAAGTACAAAATTCATACCTCATAATGTGGGAACTAAAGATTTCTTAGCAATATGATATAGATCTCCATTTTGGAGTCATTGAGAGAAGGGCTTACAATTAAGTTTATTATTTTGAAAACCAAAATATTTATCTTGAAATAAATTTTTGGTCTCTGGCTTATAATGTGACCTACCAGAGTGAAAGGGCCTTTTAAAAAGCAACTTGTATTCTAAAATATGACAAAACTTCAGTCACATACAACAAGAGGTACAGGATTAGGAGTAACTCAAATGATACTGGCCTGCTTCTCTCTGAGGGCAGTTTGTTTGTTTTTATTCTGCTAATCATCTCACAATGGACATGTTCCTAAAAGCAGATGGCTGGCATTTACCTCTTAAATTCTGTTCAAATGGTATTTTTCATCAACCATTAAAGATCTTTTTAAGGTGCACACTGCTCTAGTGTGGTCCCATATGCACTTCTGCCTGTAAACTCTTGTACTTGATTCTGACAGCCCAGTTGGAAGCTTCTGCCTTTGACTAGAGGCTGCAAAGGTGGAGGACCTTGAGTATATCCCTGAGAGTTGGTCAAAAGCGGTCTGATGTTTTGTTTCATCACCAATGCCAGAATCATAACCATGTAGCTAATTAAACCTTAGAGACACTGAAATATGTGGCGCTTCTGTATCAGTGCCCTTCAAGGTCTCTGAGTTCTATTTAAAGTTTCAGAATTAATCCTGTGGTGCCTTAGGGGAAAGAGAGAAGTTAATAGAGTCTGTCAAACAAGACCTACTGCCACTGGATTTCTTGCATCCCACCCATGGGAAAGGATCAGTCAGGTTACTTTTCATGTAATTATCTTAAATCTGTTGGGGGATTTTGTCTGTATTTGACTAGAAGATGGGGAATGCCCAAATTGAGTCCTCTATCACAATTCCTCCCTGCAGTGGCGGGGTCCCAAGGGCTTCTTCTCGTAAGACATACCATCAGACTGGAAAACAGGGTACCACTTAATTATCTGGATGGAGTACTAATGCCGCCAGACATTTGGACATTGAGAAATGATTTTAGGTGCCTAACAGAACCTTATCTAAGGTTGAAAGAGAAACTATTATTTTTCCTTCTGATTTGCTCAATAATGTGCTGACATAATTTCCTTGATGCCTTTTAGAACTCTTTTCAAAACATAAACTTAAACTTTGTTATTATTTCTAAAGTATGATAATGTGTTCTGAAAGTTCCATAGCACATGGAAGAAACTTGATAGAGTTCTTTTTGTTTTGATATACACTCTTCTTGCTGAGTAATTTCCACTTATGCTCATTAATGTATTTGAAGGAATTTCTTTAAATCAAGTGGCAGATGGCTGTATACTATCTCTGACGACCTTTTGGGGAGGACCATGAATGTCATGGATGCTTTTGAGAATTTGATGAAAACTAGGAATTTTTGGAAAAGGCAGCTAACTCTTAAATGTGTGCTTGCTATTTTAGTTTAGGATTCCCTAAATTGGCCATGGACCTTAGCCTAATTACCTCTGATCTGAAGGATTTGAAATGACAGCTGGGCCCAGTATTGCTGAAGTCTCCACCATGACCTAACTCATTTTTGATCAACTGTACATTTATGATCACAAAACACTTTGTAGAGAGATCTCAGATATGAGGGATTATCAAATCATCACTTTCACATGTGTTTAATATTGAATTTTAGCTTTGATTTTTAATCATTCTAGTCAAATACTGTTTTCACTTGAAATGTTCTAGCATAGGCTTTATCCTAAAGATTTATTGTTTTTCCTTCCTATGTGAAATACTTAAAATTACTTATAAACAGTGTGGAATGGTGAGGTTCCACTGAGCAGATAGCTGGTAAAGTGTTTATCCACTGTGTTTTGGCAAAGGGTATATTATAGATTAACGAGAAATATTCACTATGTTCCTGTGGGAGCCTGGAAGATGAACATGACATTTTTCTTTTAATTTTTGTTTATCATTAGAGACTACTGTTTTGATTGATTAGAAGGACATATTAGACATTTTTTGTGCTTATAAATTAAGCATCTGGATATTCTCAGTGATGAAGTCGGAATCCCATTTCACAACTGAGAAATATTACTCTTAGTTTGGAACTTACTCTGCTGTCTCTCAGAAGGCTGACGGGCAGGTGGTACCCCACCAGCAGCCCTCCTCACAAAGCCTTTGATCATTGCTTAGGTAGAGCACTCTGTGAACATCTAGGAAGGAAATCTTTGAACTAAAAGCCAAACTGCTCAGCTCCTTTTGTTTTTCAGAGATAAAGGAAAAATATCTCATAGTATATAACCATTCAGTGTACTGGTTCATATAAAAATTCCTCTCAGTTTAGTGCTTACTTACCACCAG